ACAGTGAGTGTGAGCACATGTATCTAATGGCTCGAATTAAGCATATATATATATACATAGCACAAGCATCAATACTGGGAAAGCTGGATTTCTTTTCAAATGTAGTACATACATGTAAACAAATCACTTAAACACACACACCATTAAACCATTCTAGGTTTATATCAGATGCTCCTTACACCCTTTCCCAAACAACGAGTACAATATTAACAACACGTCATGCACAACACTCTGCATCAGACAGGTCTGTCAGACACACCATTCAGTTAGCAGTACTGTCGGCATAGCTCTGTCTTGAAGATGACTGTCTTCTGGGATGCTGCACTGCGTAGTCTGGTAGAAATTGACCGACATTTCAGAGGCATATCCCACAAGACAGTTATATTCAAACTCACCGCCATAAAATCCTGAAATCTCACCTATATCTAAGTTGTTTCAGAGTGCAACTGACTCAAATAAAAGTTAGCTCACTTTAGACTAATACTGCCTCTGAGAAGCGGCCTGTTGCTCTGTTCAAACAGCTGTAATATGCCTCTAAGACAATGGAGAAATTGCGTTCAAGTTAGGCTGCGTACAATGCAAAGAAGTTCCCAGTGGGTTAAACCACACAATCACAAAACATTAATTCCTTTCTGACCAGTAAAATCTGAGGCAGAGAATCATAGTTGTATTACACATACTTATTTGCATTCACAACAATCATAAAGCAAAAAAAAATTAAATAATAAAATATATGTACAAACATTTCCTCAACATTCACTGCCTTCAAACTATACCTTAACTGGAAGATGGCTGTCTTCTGGGTTGTAGCCTGAACCAATGGTAAACTGCTACCAGACTACACGGCTCTATAACCCAGATGACAGCTATCATTGTACTCACCGCCATGAGAACCTTAAATCCTACTGTTACCTTATATGATTTGTTGAGTGTGCTGTGCAATGTTCCGCAAAAGCCACGTCATATACAGACGTACAGTTGTATAATTATACTAACAAATGTACAGCATGTCTTGCACACACATATGTGCTTAAATATACATTTACTAATAATATACAATTATTAAGTAACTGTGTTCCATTCTTGAAATATACTACAGATCATTTTTCACTGAATAAAATAGAAATCAAATTAACTACTGTTTCATAAAAAAATCACATATAATTAAGTAGGATATCTGGACCAGATGGAAGATCAAGGCACAGACAGTATTAAAATGATCTTGGAGGGAAGATGCGTGGATTAAACTGATCTATCTTACGCAGTGGCAGGATCTCGTGAACAACGTAATAAACCTTAGCATTCCATAATGCTGACTTTCATCTCCCATGAAGAAAAGGCAGTTTCCAGACTCAAGGCACTGAAGGAGACTGGAAGATGAAATTAACACTCTTAAACTGTCATAGTGAAAACTGATGGGGGCTGAAAGACCAAAAAAGTCGTCTAATCTAGTCTATCAATCCAGCGGGAAAGCAACCATACATGACGGATGTCAAATTTTTCTGGGAGCGACGTTTAGAAGCAGTAGTTTTGGAATGGACAAGATAACACTACAGAGGAAACATGGATTTAAAAACTGCACTCACTTTGAATAAAGCTTTGGACTATGAGTCACAGCGGCACAACTTGAGTGAGGGTTTTCTTCCACCAAACATCAGTTTTGATGTGACTAAAGCAGGAAGGAAGAACAGCTGCCACCTCAGAGACTTGCTACTTACGGGCCTGCCTAAGTAACCCACATGACCAGAGGTTATTGTTGGAAAGCACCGTTAAGCAAAAATGGGAAGTGAGGTCACTGTTGGGGCACACTGTTACAACAATTGGAATTGAGACAGCTGTAGACTTACAAAATTACCCACAATTACATCCCAACAACAGTTCATATGCAACCTATATCAACAATTTCCAACCTTCCCTGAATTGCACATAAGCAAAATTTCAGTAACTTTTCTGAAAAAGCCATGGTTATGAGAGTAGCCGGCTATAAATTTTCATACTGTAAAGCGCGTTCTTTGGCATAACAAAAATGTATATTAGGAGGTCTACAGATTTATCTGGTCCCATAGACAAACAGAAGATCACAACTCTTATGTATATTACTGAAATAATGTTTTACTATTTCACCCAGAAGAAGTGGACCCAAAATTTACAGTAAACAATGCATGTTTGTTATTTTCTGGCAGACTTTGTTACAGATTCTGTGATGAAACTCAAACAAAATATCAGAATGAATATCTGACACAGCTCTCACCTGAAAGCTGAAGTTATACATTAAAATTAATTATAATTATGCTGCAACGAGAAATTGTTTTTATACAGGTGACTGAAAGTGAAAAGAAATCTGAAATTTTAAACAACCCTTGTCATATCACATGTATGGTTTATGGTTCCCGCAAAGAACGTCTTACAAGTCCACTCTCAAGCCAAAAAGTTTCCCTTCACCTGAGGTTACCTCTTAGAATTGCTTAATTACGGCTGTTGTCACAATCACACAAATGAACGGAATATGGTTACTGACCCGAAAAATATTAGGAAACCACATATGGAACAAGTGAGGCAGGACTGCGTCGACGACATTCACGTCGCTCGAGAAACGTGCCAAGATACGTCCAATAGGTGTAACGTCAAAGAACGTCGACACGGGTAAACGCATCAAGTTTTCCAACAGAGACTGGTGGAGCAATTTTGCTGCCTTCAGTCCTCCAATACCATTAGTAAGTGTATGCACAAACACACTCAGTGCTACAATAAAAATTAAACAGGTTTATCCAAGTTTTCACTCGATTGTTTATCCACAATCAGAAAGCAGAACTTTCTTCACACTTAAACATCTTACAATAAAATCATTTTTTTTTTAAAAATATGGATGTCATAAGTATTATCATGATGGTTTTAACACTCATATGAATGCAGTCAACAAAACCAACACCTGAATTTTTTTAGACAGATCTCGACGTTTGTAGACTAAGGAGAAATAACAACATATTAGTAATGAATCTTACTATAATAAGAATTACAGACTCAGTATCACAATGCCTCACTTGGTCTACCACAGTTCACGCCTGCATTTGTTTTTAAGCCACCTATCTTACTCTACAGGAAAAGAAGACCATTTTGATATTTCGCAATAACAGAATGTGAAACCTTGCGTAACTTTTATGCCATGAGGAAAAACACGACGGTACAGCACTGGGTTCGTTCCTTTGCAAATACAATATGTGACCAACTTTCAGATGGGAATAACAGATTTATCTCTGAACTCCCAATAATTTATTAAATCGTAAATTTTGTTTCATAAATTTCCCATGCAGTATTCAACAAGCTTTGCACAGCTTCTCAGTATGTAACTCACACATACTTCACCATAGCCTGCCTCACCGTTGTGCCAGTAACACCCTGTAACATTATTCTTATTGAATTGCCCCCCCCCCAAAAGAAATATATGTCATATTAAGACAATAAGTGAAGAAGAGAGTTTTGAAGAGAAGGCATCCCTTATAAATATGGAGGTATGGTTAAGAAATTATGCAACAAGAAGTCTGACGTCAAAAACCTGAACTCACGCAAATTAACCTAAGTTAGATTGCTTAAGTTTTTATGAGCTATGTTTCTAATTTTGATAATTCCCACATATGAAACAAAATGCAAAATAATTATACTTGGAATTTCATTTAAACTAAATTACAAGGAATTTTTGTATGAAATTAATATAAAATCAAACTACACTATGTTGGTGCCTGCTTCAGTTGCCATGAAGATCTTTTCACATTTAATTTACTTTATAAAGAAATTTTATAAATTTTGTACTCTCAATGTAATCTGTAAAGATAATGCTGCAATAAAATTCATTATTGTACGACACAAAGAAAGTCAATTTTCGTCAACTTTGATGAGTCACAACACTAGTTATAATTAATAATACTTAAACCAGCACACAAGATATTTATAAGTTCTGCAAACATTAAATTTCATTTTATAATAGTTTCTTTAACACACAGACTCTTCAATCAAGAGAATGTATAACATTTAATTTAAAGTTTTTGAGATATGTTGTCATAGTTAAACAATAACCACACCAAATTCCATGCAACTCTTTCAGCACATCAAAAACTATGTAAATAAACAAAATAATATAGAATTCATACTGCAAAGTAACTACCAATGCTGATCTAGGAAACATCACAAGTTCATTAAAACACCTGAGAAGATTTAAGTGTCATTTAAAACCACACAATACAAACCTCTGCAAATCAAATTACACCCAAGCTCCCTCACGTTTCCAAATATCGAACAACCACAACCTTAAACTTGTACCCTATACCAAATGATAGCCAACATTCACACCGTATTATACGATACAGTGAAAAGAAAAGTAGACCAAACAATTCATAACTTTAAACCCACTCACTGGATTTTCACTTTGACCAAGAAAGCAAACACAGGATTTGTTTTATTTATAACCTATAAAAATAATGTAGTACAATACAGAATCATCAGGGCAATGAGTGAGCTACTCACCTATCGCCCTGATGATGGCGGGAGCAAGGACCTCTGAAACGTTGGTAAACTTCTACCAGACTACAACCCATTTCCTGTGCTGTGTTTGCGCTTGCATTTACCAATTTTCTTCTTATATTTGTTTTTTATTTTTTTCATTATTATTTTAAAAGGGTGTTAATGTGAAATAGCGTAAAATGAATCATAGTAAAGCGGGGCCTACCTGTACATTACTATGCATCCCTGTACACAAGATATATAAAACTCCTATCAAAGTATTTACTATTACACAATTAATAAATTTTATACTACTTAAAAGGTAAAGCCTTAGGACATGTATAACTCATGAACTGCCACAAAAGGATTACAAACAAGCAAGGAATAAAAACAACATACAAGCAAGTTAAAAAAAGTAAGTAAACAAGAAAAAAAAAGCATGCAATTACGAAAAACTAAAACTGCCCTTGTAAAGTCCTACTATAAAGTGGATTCCATTAATATAAACTTGGCAACCAACACTTATTCCACATCGAAGGGACAGTGTGGATTATGATACATACTGAAATAAGTAGGTTATATCTGGAAGAAATCAAGTGGTTTTTTTGTTCTTACTACGCAAACCAGGGTTCAAGCAATTCCACTCACAGCATACATCCCTTTTACAAAACGTATCCCATGTTTTAAGCAAGCCAAACGCATTTAAAGGAAATATGTAATTTCAAAAATATGTTCAATTTGTGATACTAAATCGCAATACAAAACTTTGCGGCTGAATTAAAAAGAAAGTTTGTGTGCGCAACTAAAAGAAACTACTTCTGAACAGCAGCATTTGGGATTGAAATGATTAATCTTTATCACATAATACGTGATTACAGACAATAATTACTTTACACTCTGAGGGAATACACAGCTGGGTAAGGGAAAGTTATTTAGAAATTTCCCATTTCACTGCTCGCGCGTTGAACATTTCAATAGCTTATTCATCAATTTACTTTGCTATTCACAAGTACACCCACTGGTGAAAATGTGACAAAAGATTTTACATTAACTCGTAGCTAGATGTGGAATGGAATAGACCTCTGTATCAGACTTCCTTTATTTTCTGTTGGAAGATCTAATGAAATCATTTGTAGTTACAATTCATCACACCGTATCAATCAATAAGTGTCAACTGGAAACGCTTATGAATGGTATAGAGGGAACAACTTCGGCATATTAATTAAAGTATAAGTGTTCCAACAACACTCGAGCCACAGTGGTCTATTATGACAATGACACAAATTTTGTTTTATATCAAATTGCTGTTCTTCCAGTATATTGGTTACAGGGATCGTACAGAATAACATCATTACCGAGAATAAACAGGTGAGCCACGCCCGGATATTATGCGGGATTGTGTTGTCCATGGTGTCAATGTCTTTACTGAACCGGTTTAAAATCCTGCCTGTGGGCGTAGTGTCGAAGAACCTGAGGGGATTGCTGAGCACATGAGAGAGCATCTGACAGTGAAGATATCTGGCTGCCAGAAGGGTGCCGAGAGCCAGGTACAGTGACGAGATGAACACTGCAATGACTACAAACACGCCAGCACACTGAGTAAGGCTTAGCATACTATTTCCTGAACACTGTGATGTATTTTTACAAATGGTCTTGAATTAATTGTATTATTCTATAATCAACAGATGTCTGGAAATGTATGCTGGAATAAAGATGCCACTGCTAGACTAGCACAATAAACACAACTATCAAATACAATGTCTCAGGAGCTTATTTGATTATGAAAATATATACAGTAAAAAAGCAGTTTTTAGATACGGAGATGTATGTTAAATAAGTTTTTCCTTTTGAGAAACCTTCTGTACAGTATGTCTCACTGAAAAGTATATGATGCTAGAAAATTTAAAGGTACAGTCCACAACTGTAATCTTGAGACTTGCGGGGTGAGGAAGTGGGGTGAAGGAGGAAAGATAGTGTCTGCCTTTAACGCTACGGACTTACTGCATTCCTTGCAGGTCTCAAGATTACAGTCGTGGACTGTAAATTATAAAATTATATAACCAGAAAAAGCATAATAAAGAACAGAAAGACCCACCTAAATAATTTAATGACCGCTATCTCAATTTTTAAAAAATAAAATGAGAAATCCATCCCCCCCAAATAAATTTTAAATTGCAAGCACTGTTCAATTATTTTAACAATTATCAACTCTGACCACAGTATAGATTTCCATGACTCGATCTGCACACGTTATAGGAAACTGTAAAATCAATTGTGAGTTATGTAAAGTGTCTCATACATTTCAAATCATTTCCAATATACACACAACTAGGACAGAATAAACGGGACAGCTTCCCAGTAAGCAATCTGACAGAGGGTGAAAAACATCAAGTTTGCACGGAAAAAAATGTATAAATTGTCCCTCAAAACACAATGAGTTATCTTAAAACACAGTTACAATTAATTTTCCACAGTTATACAAAACAAAGCAGATACAGAGCACATAAATTAACTCAGGAGAGTTAATGTTCTAATTTTGTATTTTTTTTGCACAATGTTTTCAGCATGGAAACGTAACTTACTTTATGGCCGAACATTTCGACACTGACGACTCACTTCCTTTAGGAGACCTCTGAATGGAAGAAGAGACTAAAGGCATTATAATTCCGTGCATCACCATTAAGCACTGACGGTGTATAAAACGGCACTTACATTTACGTTTAATCAAACAAACCAGCCACCAGTAGACAAACAAATAGTGCATTATCACAATTTCTTCTCTGAGGTGTTTTACACAAATATGTGATGAAAACCATGTATATCTTACAAGCATATACATGAATATATGTCATGTGTTATGCTACAGCACGACAGTAGTTTGAGATCATTCAGTGTGTCAATTATAATGCATGCTGTATGTGGGAATATGCAAACAGAGAAGTTTGGTTGGAGTATAAGTTCAAAGTTTGATTAAAACTAACAAGTGTTGTCCACGTACACATATAACGAATAATCTCAATTCAAACTGAAGATGGTTTATGAAATTTAAGACTGGTGACTCTTGGAAAGTTCCCTCATGCTCATTAATTTAAAAAAAGTCATATGACTAAACAGTTTATACGTATCTGTAAGGACAAAGTGACAGTTTTGTTACAGTAAAGGTATAATGAAATACGAAGAAGGTACTTTAGTTGCAATTTTGAGTCATACCCTTTACCCTGGAGTCAGGAAATTAACAACACACCGTCTTGATGCAGAGAGCAAAATTTAAAAACTACTCAGTATGAAAATTTGCTTTTTGTGTTTCGAAACATCACTGTCAGGCTGTAAAATGACAATCTACAAAACATATTTTACATTACTGAAATGCTAGAGAAGTTCCTATCTGATGTGCACCTCCTCCCACAACTAAAAGCTGAAAATATTCATGCAAAGGTGCTTTTTGTTTTCGTACAGAATATTTGTAATGTGAATATGGTAACCGGGAAAGAAGCAATGCAAATTTTTACATATATAAAATAAAAATAAGACTTTTAACAATATGGGAAAATAGTGACATTCTACATTGCGTTTCGGATATTCCGCCAGACAGGAGTAATCCCTTCGTATTCTATATGAACAATCCACACATTTATTTATTAACCCTAAGACTACAAGGTCATCGTCTCTCAGACATAAAGAAAAGGGAAAAAGAAAGTCATTGCTTTGATATTTACAGGTATGACAAAAGATAATAATATTTTACAAAAGGGCACTTCAAAACTTTTAAAAATAATGTTAATGCTCAGTGTCAGACTCCAAACCAGTAATTTTAATGGTGCCTGTTCTCATAAAAAAAAAATGTAATTTGCAAATTTCAGAGCCTTCTGTCACTAAAACTACGAACTAGGAACCTAATAATAAATTAACTACATACAGCAGAACCCTACTCAAGAAGCTAACAGTAAACTCAGCTATTCAAAAAATACCCCACATTCTATGGAACCTAAAAGCTCATATCCATGTTCAAAAGAGAAGTCCCTGTTCTGAGCCACATGAATACAATCCACACCCCCCAAACCCTATATACTACTTCCTTAGGATCCTTTTTAATATTATCCTCCAACCTATGCCAAGGTACTCTGAATGGTCTCCTCCTTCAGGCTTTCCAACCAAAATTTTGTATGTATTTCTCATCTCCCCTCCTCCCTCTAGACACTTAATCCCTTTTAAGTCCAAATATTCTCCTCAGCATCCCGTTCTCAAACACCTTCAATCAGTCTTCTTCCCTTTGCATGACAGACCGGGTCTCACACCCATTTACAAAGTAACAGGTAAAATTATAGTTTTGTATATTTCAATCTTTATGATTTTAGACAGCAGACAGGAAGACATAAAATTCTGAACTGAATAATATCAAGCATTTCATTAATTTAGTCTGCTCTTAATTTACTTGTGAGTGAAATTCTGATTTGCTTCTATCATTAACAAATATTTTAACTTCGCCACATTTTCAAAGAATTTGTTAGGTACCTTAACATAATTTTGTCTTGTAGTTGAGTGATGAGACGTGACCATCTCGATCAATTCCGTTACCAGCACGTCTAACATAATTTCTGCATTTCCCTTTATGATATTTATGTTTCCACCCAATAAATTAATATCATCAGCATACGTCAAAAACTGATTTGTCTCGATCGAGGTAGTCAAGCAAAATGCTTTTGGGTATTTTAAACACAATGCATAAAAAAGAGAATGTCTCATGGGGGAGCCAAATTATTCCACCTGTCCAAGATGAAACTCAGAACCATTTAATGGATTTGGATGAAACATGGCACTAAAACTGCGTATAATTATCGTAAAGCACCACATAATTTTGGTTCAGATATGTCGAGTACAGCCCCTATACCAGATCCAAGTGGTATGGAAGATGTAACATGCAAACAAACGTACAGAACCTCATTAGCATATGTCGATCACGTACCAAATGTATAAAAGGCACACTAAAATTATCCTTCCGCGCTCAATTAGACCTGACATCGTATGTGAAAGCGTCTGAGGATAGACTTTTAATTACTGTTTTCTAGATCTAATCTGTACAAACAGTCACTCGGGCTGGGTTTCGTGTAATGGGCAGACATATTTACAGACAGTAGCAAATATGATCCATGTGTTAAAAATGCACAGGGTACTCCCTGAAAAATACTGTAATACCTTTCACACTGATGAGGTCTTCAAGCTGATTGAAAAGCCATAGTTCAAGCTG